TATTTAAGGAGCCTGACTGTGGCCTATAAAAGTTAGCGGTGGATGCTGCCGTAAATTCCAATGCTGTGCCATCGGGACAAGTATTTCAGAATCAGCCCCCCCGCCGCTTTTGACCAGTCACACAAACAAATGCCTCTCTGGAGAGGGGGCTCTCACACCTCCCAGCAATGTCCAAGCTCCTCCAGAAAACCCAGGAAGAGGAAAGGAGCAGAATCGCCCACCCTAATGCCCCCCGGTCATGTGCTTCCCCAGGATCACATCCCTTGCCCGGCTCTGAGTGAATGATGTGTGGACATGGACGATCTTACTGACAAGTCATAATGATCTCCGATACTTTCAGAATTTTGGCATCAACCAGAGAACGGGCCACAGGATCTGGGAGCCTAAGAGAGATGCCCCGACTCTAACCCTACAGGGTTCCACTCGGTTCCTTCACTTCTGCTCCTCCTTTCCTGCTGTCTTTGCTCAGAAAGAGAAAAGATCACATCCTCAGATACAAGGAACAACCCTGACCAACAAAACCCGGGCTTTCCCCCATCCTGCCAGACCTTAGGCCAAGAAACACAGAGCCAGCGTGGCTGGGTCAAGTCAAGAAGCACTGGAGGAAAGGTCTCCAGATCGAATCCGGATCCAGCATGAATCCTGGTGGCATCCAGGGTCCACGGCTCTGCCTTCTAGGCCCCTCTCTGATGAGCTTCCTATGGAGGGCCTGCTCTCTCACAGGTGCCTGTGACTTTCAGACGGTGTTTTGGTTATTTTCTCTGCTCTGTTTCTTCCAGTTTGATGTACGCACTCAGGGAAGGAAGTGTCCGGATCACATCAGAATTGTTGGGTGTCTAGTACACTGTGGACCAAAGGACAGTTGGAAATCATTTCAAAGCCTTTTCATATTCAGTGCCTCCTTTGTGCCTCACACTGCCTGGGGACTGACTATCACTGTCCCCATTTTCTAGATGCAGAAAAAAATTCAGAGAGATTAAGCAACTAACCCAAGGTCACATAGATACAGAGTGGCAGCGCTGTGGGGGTCAAGGTTGGGAAGGCGGCAGCATGCTGAAACACTGAGGTCCATCTCCCAGGCTTTGCTCATAGGAAAGGGCTATGGGCGTCTTCTCCCCATCCAAGGGGCCTTTCTCTGCTGCTCCAATTCAACAGGCGTTTATCAGGGGCCAGGAGATCCTGAGAGACACTGGAAGATGCTGTGGTTTTTTCATAGCAGCAGGGCAGCTATTTGCTTACTGAGCATTTACAAAGTGCCAGGAGCTGTGCCAGGCATGCTGTGTAAACTATCTCACAGGATCCTCACCATCACCCTGAGCTTTAAGATCACTCTGCTAGGAGGAGGCGAGGCAGAGCAGGGATCCAAATAATATCTTTATCTGAAGGACACAAGCAACTATGGGGAAGAAACGGCAGTGGTTGCTTCATCGGCCATTTGCATAACCAACAACATTGACTGAGTGGCTTCCAGGGCAGAACCTGGACTATATTAGTGGCACCCTGAGGACAAGCGGAGAGTTGGGTGGCAGGTCTTCCCTGGTGCCCATGATGGGAGGAAGTGGTGCACACATACTGGTTCAGCTGGTGTATTCCATGAGCACCTGCTATGCACCAGGCGAGTGTCAAGGTTGCAAGCCGCTCCTAGGGCTTGCAGTCTAGATGGGGGGACAGACAATAAACAAGGTGACAAGTAAATTGGTAGGGCAATACCTTCACGTATTGATAAGTGCTACGAAGAAAAAATAGGACGGCATCACGGTCTTGGAAAACAGTTTGGCGATTTCTTAAAAATTTAAGTATACACGTGCCGTGTGGTCCAGCCATTCCATTCCTAGATATTCACCCAAGTAGGTGTTCAATAACTATTCCCTTAATGACTGAATGAATAAATGAATGAATCTATTCTGCATGTCAGTTTTTTGGTTTTGTTTTGTTTTCAATTACGGTAAAAAAAAAAAAAAAGTACGTAACGTAAAATTTACCATCCCAACCATTTTAAAGTGTACAATTCAGTAATGTCAAGTACATTCACATTGTTGTGTGATGTCATTTTCTTTGTTGAAGGTATGAAGATAAAACTCGGCTGAGACAGACAGGATTGGTGAGGGACATGAAAAATTTAAACTTGACTTCCAGAAGCGTACTCCCTAAAAATATGACCCCAAAGCCTTGTAGGATGTGTCTTGTGGGGGTCCCCTTGTCTTTCCACAGGCAGGATAGATCATGGCAGGAACTCTGGCTTTAAGAACAGTTTCGCTTTCCTTTGTCCCTGTGGGCTCCCTCCCCACCCCTGCTGGGTCTGCTCGAACTCTCTGCCCCACCCCTATCCAGGAGTGCCTCTGGCCCTAGCTGGTCGGGGTGAATGCAGTGTCACTGTGTGAGCTGCAGGGACTTTCCACAGGCCCAGCCTTGTGCTTCATCTGGCTCCAATCTGTCTTCCCCTCCTTGCCTTGCTTCATCCTTTGCATCTCAGCCTGGACTGTATTTTCCTGTGATGTGGGCTGTGGAGCTGAGTGGCTGAATGTCACAGCCGTGGAACCAGACCTCCTTGGTCCCCAGCCCAGTTTAATACCAACTAGTGATGTGCCTTTGGGCAAGTGGTTTAACTCCTCTTAGCCTCAGTCATCTTACTGTAAATCAGGATGAGAATGGCACCTACACCACAACAGTTGTTGTGAACATTTATTATGAGCACTTTTCACACTGTCTGCCACAAAATAGTACTTAATAAATGTCAGCTCTAATCCCAGGAGTTGTTTTGCATTTTCTCCTTACAAGGTGATCACGGTTTTATTACACACCTGCAGGTTTGGATTAAACATCTCTAGGATCTGGGGTGGATGGGGAACATCTCTTAGAAGGAAATAATATGATAATAATGTTATAATACCCACCAGTTATTGAGGAATTCCTTTTCTAGGTACTATGCCGGTAACAATAATTAATGATAATTAACTAATAATGAACAACAAAATAGAAGCAAATCCTGATTGAGTGCTTACTGTCTGCCAGGCAATGCTCTAAACATTTTTTGTGTATTAACAAATCCTAACAACCCGTTGAGGAAGATACTATTATTATCCTCATTTTACAGATCAGAAAACTGAAGCATAGAGAGGCAAAGTGACTTACTCAAGTTGAACCCGTAAGTGGACAAGGATAGGACTCAAACTCTTGCTACTCTGGTCCAGCTCATCCCCTGGGCTCTGAATCCCGAACAATCCTACCCAGTGTAGCCATTTGTCTGGTCTCTAAAGCTTACCAGCTCTCGGTTACTCTGGCAGATGTTGTGCTGTTCTGCCCCCCGGCTGGATGACTGTGTCTCCAAAAGGGGCATTAAATTAGGCCAGCGGACCCTGCAGCCCTGCAAAAGTTCCCACACTCACCTAGAAAAGTCCTTCTTTGTATCTGGAGAGGGTATGTGTCTTGATATGATCTCAGGACCCACCCAGGCAGATTTTCAAGTTTCCACGTGGTCTCTCCCCTCCTGGAAATAAGAATAAACACTCAGACTCAAGCGGACCCTCTAAATGAAAGCTGGAGTTATCCAAATGAAAGTGTTCTCTGGTTATGGGTGGAGGATGGGCTGGGGAGGAGGATGGAGGGACTCTTTGGAGGGCAACGATCTTTAAGAGAGATGCCAGGTGGGAGAGCCCTTTCTTTCCTCCATCCCTTCCATTCACAGCTGGGGGGGAAGACAGTGTCTTGATAGAATCTTCTCGAGTCCTCTTCCTTCTGGAGACAAGTGTGACTATAGGTTTTCTGCTGGTCTTCCAGGTGGATCTTTCTGAAGCTTTAAGTATGTTAACTCAAGAAGGCTCCAACCATAGGCCCCTTGTGTATTGATAATAACAATATTTTATGTACATTGCCCATTTACTAAATGCCAGGCATTTGTTCTGGGCACGTTACGTTGACAAAGACTCTTATCTTTTTTTTTTTTAATATTTATTTATTTAGTTATTATTTTGTTTGCACCACGTCTTAGCTGTGGCACGCCTGCACACAGTTGCAGCATGAGTACTTCTTAGTTGCGGCATGCCTGGGGGATCTAGTTCCCTGACATGGGATCAAACCCCAGCCCCCTGCACTGGGAGCAAGGAGTCTTACCCACTGGACCACCAGGGAAGTCCAGACAAAGACTGTATCTTTAACCAAACTGTAGTTAGGCTCCTCTGAGCCCTCTTCTTGACTAGGCCTCAACCTAGCCTTGTGCATCCTGCATAGCCCAGTTTCAGCAAGAATCCTGCTAAGTCAGTTTAGCAAGAATCCCACCGACCCTTGATATCTGATCACCCTCCATATCTGATCAAGTTCCCCATCCCCCACTTTTGAGATCTGTCTTTGGCCTATCTTTAGCAAGAATCCTGTTAGGTCAGGTTAGCAAGAATCACCCTATCCTTGATGTTTCTTCGTAGTCGTACTTTTGCCACCCACTGACCCTTCACTCTGCTGCTTGCCTATAAACCCCACTTATCCTTGGGGTACTCCGAGTTGGGCTTGATCTCTCCCTCCCCTATTGTGGAACCCCTGCCCCAGTAGTCTTGAATAAGTTTCCTTACCATTTTAGCAAGTGTCAGAATCATATTTTCTTCAACATGAATTAGTTCATTTATCCTCACAAGGATCCTCTGAGGTCCGTAACTGTCCCCACTTTCACCGGAGGAGGAGGACAGGGTGCCCTCTAGGATGAGACACCAGCTGTTGCCGCATCTGCAGTTTGTACCTGGACGTTCCCCCAAGTTCTCCCATCAGCCCACTTGCAGGGACTTCAACTCGGCGAGATATTGTGCCCTTTGCGACGCAAATCTGGATGTTCTCCAGCGGTGCCGGAAACTAGCTGGGCAGTGGCGGGACTAAGGCTCTACCAGCCGGACACCGTCGCCTAGCAACCAGGCAACAGTCACGTGACCCAACTCACGTGCCCATTCCCTCCCCCGGTGGGGGGTTGGAGTCGGGGCCGCGGGCGGGGCGGAGCCGGGCAAGTTTGTTTCCCGAGTTCGTAGACCAGGAGCCCCCGCGGTCGTCGCGCAGGTTCCCTCCAGCTTGGTCGGGATGGAGCTGCCCGCCGTGAACCTGAAGGTGGCAATAGGCGGGGCGGGGCGGGGCGGGGGTGGCCCAGCCGCTGGGGTTGGCGGGCTGGCGGGCTGGCGGGCTGGCGGGCTGGCGGGCGGGCGCGGGGCGGGTCTCCCCGAGCGTGTTGGGCGGTTGCGCTTTTAAAGTAGGAATTTAGAGGTGAGATGTTGGGCGTGCTTTTAAAGTAGGAATTTAGAGGTGAGAGGACCGAGCTTTTGGGGAAAGAGGGGTGGTAGGGAGAAAGAGAACGTACAGAGTCCAGGTGAGAAGGAGGTGGGTGGATAGACCATAGCAAGGAGAGGGATGCAGAAGGCCAGCAGGAAAGACCGAGAGGAAACTGGAGGAGGGAAGGCAGGCCCCCTCTTCCCGGAGTCAGACCGGCCCAGCTGGGAGCGCCGGGCCCCTGAGGCTCTCTTTGGCCTGCGCGCCCAGAATTTCTCTGGGGAAAGAGGAAGGCGCGGGGGGAAGGGGCCCACCGAGAGCCCGAGGGGGGACTTAGAGGCGGCACACCTTCCTTCCACCGAGAGAGGGGCTAAACCTTTCACCCGCACCCCCGACACCAACCTGGTAGCCTCCTTTGTTGGCAGACGAAGCTGTGATCCCGGACGAGTGGTTTTTCAAAGTTTATAAATTCAACGTCTTTATTTCGTAAGCAGCACAAAACGCCGACTTTGCGCATTTAGGGAAACACTGGAGCTTCCGGGGGTGTCTTCATTTCCTGAACCGTGTCCTCAGCTGTCAGGATGCCAGCGGCTGTTTTTTTTCCTCCCCGCCCCACCAGCCCAGTGCTTCTTGGCTCTGTTTGCCACTGAGAGGCTGAAGCCTTTAGCTTTGGTCAGGAACGTGTGAACCTTGGACCAAACCTGCCATTTTGGGTCTCAGTGCAGTTTCCTTCGAGACTGTGGTATCCAGGACTGCCCTTTTACTCACGCATGACAAGGAATTTAGCACCCGTGGTGTCTGGTACTGAAGGAATCTAAGAGATAGATGACTACAGAACAATACATTATCCATATTTGGATTATTAGACACCGTCTGTGCTGTGACGGTGATATGGGATATGGGAAGACGTCCCTTGATACTTTCCTTAATACTTGTTTCAGCAAACCTCCTCGAAGCTTTCAGTCAGCGGCTAGGGGGAGAGATGGCTGGAACAAGGGAATGGACTTGGATTGAAGGTTTAGCTGGGAAGAAATTTACATGAGGGCAACTAAGGTTTGTTGGTGTCAATACTGTTCCAGCCTGTGTGGGGTTAATGTTGACCGCCTTTTCTCTAATTAGAGATTTGCCTAAAATAATTGCTAAGAGGGAATGAAATGAGGGACAGAGCCACAGGAATTGAGAGGGGAGAGAGCCCGCATTTGGGGGGCATCTGTGGTGTGCCAGGTTATTTATTTAATCACATCAACCTTCTGAGATTTTTACAGATGAGCAAACTTCAGCTCAGTCCAGGTAAGTAACTTGCCAAGCTCCCACAGAGATTTAGTGGCAGAGTCAGGGTTTGAATCCATCAGGGTCAGACTTCAAAGCTGTGTCCTTTCCTGGCCACCAATTAGTTAGGACTGACTTCTGCCTTGACATTTTCTGTCCACGGGGAGGGCTTAGTCTGTTTGGGGCTTTTTTTTGAGCAACTTCATGGGTGGGACAGGCCACGCACGACGCCAGGTGTGAGCTGTGCTGGCTTTGGGTGCCCGGAATGAAATGTCTGGTCCTTCCCTTGACTTGGGAAATAAAACATCATATCTCAGAGGGTCTTAGCTGATACCAATCAGAGACAACTAAGTGCTGGGAGGGCCTGAGCAGCTAGGGTTGCTAGGTAACATAGGGGACATCCAGTTGAATTTGAATTTCATATCAACAAATAATTTTTTAGTATAAGTATATCCCAGGCAATGTTTGGGACATTCTAGCAAATTATTCATTATCTGAAATTGAAAACTAACTGGGTGCTCTGTGTTTTTGTTGTTAAACCTGGCCACCCTGTGGAGAGAGCTGTTGATGCTTGTTCACCGCTGAGTGGGGTGTTCTGAGACCAGAGCCCCTTGGGAGCTGGGGAAATGCACCCCTGTGGTCCTGCACTACCCCCTTCCTTATTTCACACATTCCTTGGGCATTGGCTCAATGCCTGCTTGTGCCCAGTCCAGCTGGAGTGGGCAGTGGTGCCAGGTGAGCAGAAGCGAGTGCCCCAGGCCCTCTGGGCAGTCGCTAACCCAGCCCCACCCGTGAGGCAAGTCCTGAGCTGGAGGAATGTCACTGTGACAAGCTTCGAAGGCACTAGGCCTTGGGTTCATGAGGTCTTGGGAGAAAGGCCCTTTGGAGGAGGGTGCAGGGGGTAGTGTAGCATGAGGGTTAAGAACTCTGGAAGCTGACTGTATAGTAGTAATGAGGGTGGCCACGTCTGGGGGGCTGACTACCTGGCAGGCATTGCATTGAATGTTTCGCACATCCCTCCACCTCTCTGTAGCCACACGACACCCCCGTGAAACATTATAGTCCCACTTTACAGAACAGCAAGCAGCAGTTCTGAGAGCTCAGGTGACCGGCCCAAGGTCACACAGCTGTAAGTCACAGAGCTGGGGTCCAATCCACATACTTGGCTGCAGTGCCCACAGCATTAACCACTGCCCACCTCTGCCTCTGCTCTCCAGCAGCCCTGAGTGCTGTCCCCTAGCCTCAGCCCTTGGGGGTCCTCGGGGATCTTGCTGCCTCATGCAACAGGCCACCGAGTGTTTGCACAGGACCAGGAAAATATATTCTGGGTGTTTTTGTTTGTTTATGGTTTTTTTTGGCCGTGCCGTGCGTTTTGTGAGATCTTAGTTCCCTGACCAGGGATTGAACCCGTGCCCTCGGCAGTGAAAGTGCAGAGTCCTAACCACTGGAACGCCAGGGAATTCCCTCCATACAGATTAATATAGAGAATATATTTTTCCTGGGAATTCCTTGGCAGTCCAGTGATTAGGACTCAGCGCTTTCACTGCCCAGGGCACAGATTCAATCCTGCAAACTGAAAAAATACAAAACTGTATGGTGACCTCAGGTCTGTCTACCACCTGTCTGGGAAGTCCCACCCCCACCCACGTGGGCCCTCTAGTGGCAAACGAAGGGTCTAAGTCCTGGTCCGCAGGACCCTGCGGTTTCCCCCTTAGCCTTCTCAAGGTCAAACCTCCTCATTTCCATCCACCCTTCCCTTGCTCTTCCAGCACAGTGGATACAGCACAGGCTTTGGGACCAGACAGACTTCTGTCCAAAGCCAGACTCTGCTGCTTACTAGCTGTGTGACCTGGAGCAGATTTCTAAACCTCTCTGAGTATCAGTTTCCTCACCGTAAAATGAGCATAAAATTAGACCCTACCTTCTAGGGTGATAAGGGGAGGATCTAGTGGTCCAGGAGGTGGTGTAGCATCACTTTTTTTTTTTTTTTTTGGTA